AGATGTCTGTGGGCATGTGCGTGAGTGGGTGCGCAGCACTCGCTCGCGTGCGCACTTCAATAGGCATAGACACACGTGCGCACATGTGCGTCAAGTCAGGTTCGTCGGACCGCGTAACGGACTGAACGGCGCGTGATTCTCATCAGTTTCATTCGTCGCACACGCACATACACCAGCCCGTTCGAATCCCTATGACACTAAAGAAGAAAACCTGATCGTTCGGGACAGCGTTTGTGGGCTGAGTGCATTCGCCTCGACCGTAAGCGTACGGGGACTGAACGAGATGGAATTAAAACAGAGAATAACCCGATGGCAAAATCGAGTACAGAATCTCCGTTGGGGTCATAGAAACAAACAACTATTAACCGGAACACTATCAGATATGGATACCGAGATTACTGGGCCACGACTGAACGAGGGCAATGGATTTGTGGTCAAGTCCCGAAAAAAAGCACACGATGTCCTATTGCCACAAAAACCCGGAGATAAAGGTCGTTTGAAATACCCCATGAAATGGATGCTTCGGTCATCCAAATCAGAAGGCCTGATGGATTGTGACGGTATATCATCTTCATCGCAGACCGATTCAAAATCCCGGCAGACATCCTCACTAGCGCTTAACACGAACGGATTGAAATCCCCGCGATATGCCAAATTGGCAAATGTTACTTCCTCAGACCAGATTCATTCACACACACCCAGTATTGTTGCCAATGCCCAACGAAAAAAGAAACTAGTATCATCAAAGTGGAATGATTTAGCCAATGTGTTGCGGTAAGTCACGATTGTTTCCGGCTCTGACAATAAACACATTTTAAGAACGCAAATTCTGAGAGCAGCAGTTTCGAAACGACGTAACGAGCTTATCGTTTTATTCAGTGTTCTGAGCGAATAGTTTCAGTAAAACACAATATTGTTATAAACTAGAACAAACTATCCACTTTTCTCTCCTCGTTAGACAAAACAAAGGGCAATTTGCGTCGAATTTGACCAGTGATACTTACTTAACACTGGCCTGTAATGTAACAGCAACATTTACGAATTCTGGCAAATTAGCAGCAGAGGTTCAGGAGAAATTTTGATACACAAGGAATCCCAAAGATGCATGCTGGCCTTTGACGAATTCTCAGTTAGAAACCGCCATTTCTAATCTTTGTTTAGTTTTGTTTCGACAACAAACAATAAATCGATAATCTTTGTGATTCCCACCGAGCGTAATGGTGTCCATCTTTTTATTTGTCGATCGGACTCTGTGTAGATTACTGTAAGTGAAGCTCCGTGTCTTAACTGAATTTTATCAAAATCAGTTGGACGGAGTAGTTCGTAACCCGGAAACAAACGATTTATGTTCGGGAAAACCTCGTTGCATTTCTGCTGGTGATTACTACTAAACATTGTACTGTCTATGTACAACAGCAGGTCAAAGAATCGGTGACAGTTATCGCTTTTCGGGGTGGGGGCAGATTTTGGTGCTCGGTTTGTGTTCTACAGCACACACAAAAGCACTACTCACTTTGAATGGGTTTCGGTAGGGGCGAAACAGTTCTCTCGGTGTTGATTGTTGGCCATCACACACATACTATGACAACGACAAAAACCGTTATACTCTCCTGGTTACTGAATATTTGATCGGGCTGGTTAATCTTGATTATGCATAGCAGTGTCCATCTGAGCAACAATTCCGAGAGTTACAGTCCTCAGTTGCCTTGTAATTCGGGATAATCAATCGGTCAGATACGGCGATAATACTTGCTCTCCATGGGAAATGGATATCTGCCTTATCTTTCCACATGCCTGAAGTTCCGACATACCTAACGTCAATAGTACAAATGTTTTTATCCGACCAGGCATGCTTTCATGCCATAGCCAAAAATGTAACGTTGACTTCATTTACTCATCGTACTCTCCAAGTGTAAAAATGCTTCGCTGGACCAATCCTGCGGACCTTTTACAGTCACAGACCCGAATAAATCAGTCAGACTAGGGCATTCACGTACAGTAGAATTTTTCTGATGTACTGGACTGGATTTTCTTCCGATGGAATGTATTTCAGAGGGTCATCATAAACTATGCACCGTTTGGTGCATTACTACAATCAGTGGTGCTCTTCCAGGTATTGATCGATAATTTGATACGTGTCATTATTTCGGGAATTTCATCATCAGTTCATTCCATACGAGTTCACTGAAACCAGGATCTGCGAATTGTTTTCCTCTCGGTTCATTTTCGCATCAAAATTGATGGAAACTTTTAGCATTATCAGAGATTTTCATTCTTAAAAATAACTGCCGAAGTATCTGTAAAAGTGAGACCATTACAAAATCAAGGAACAATAATAATTCTTAGACCCAGTTCTCTCTCAGTTCAGTGTTGAGTAAAACCCCCACAGCATTTCTACGTGATCAATCTGTTTTCTCAAGCTGTTAGTATCGATAATGTAACTTGCTCTTGTGAAGTGCGAACCTCAATCAAAAGGTTTGGGTTTCGGGTCCCAGTACGGTTAGAAAATGTGTACACAATGCTAACCAATGTTGGTAAGGGACCCAATGGACCCAAATCGATGTCCCTTTATTAATAGAAGTGCCGGTTTTAACAAGATCTATTCGGTGGATCCGGCGCTCATTACTCCTTCAGTTCATGAGTGAAAATAGATTGCTGAGGCGGATTTGACCTGCCAACCACTATGTAATAACCAAAACAGTCGTTTAATTTCTGCAGTTTTCGTGTGGATTTGAACGTGTGTCGGTGACTATCATTCCGCTTTACGGATATTTTTTCCAGCAAATGCCACTCAGTATTTATTCCCTTCCCTTACTTAGCAGGGTGCTGATAAACGTGAGCTACAAGAAATAATGTATAATAAGCTTTCTTGTATTCATTCCAAACCATTCTGTAACATTAATTTCTCATGATATTTACTCAGATCTTTCCGGAATATGTAAGCCACTTTACTGTCAAAATGGAATCATCCAAAAGTCCCATTAGTCTTTCCTGTTATGTGCAATCTACTCCTAGCCCAATGAATTTGGGCTTTTACTGGGTTTTGGAGAAAAAATCGTTAGAATCACTTACACACAAACCAATAATCACTCTTTAATATGTCATTTATAGACAGCCCATGTATGGGCGTGTGTTCGGGATGAAGTGAATGTAATCTTAAGTAACACAAACACAATTTCGGTATTCCAACCCACACCGAATTAACTTTGTTGATTGGACACATAACGCATCAGATGTGGAATCAGATGGTGAGTGACTTTCCATTGAGAACAATTATGTCCGATTAGGGCTATGAAGACAAAAGAATCTCGTCACAGATTTCAGTACTCGCCTGGGCTGTGCCACTAGTGCACTCAGCCTTATTAATGGAGCTTGTGGACGAACTATGCAATCGAATGCATTCCGTCGCCTCTGGAAAGAAACCGGAGCCCTCAATGTGGAATCGGTTACTGATTCCATCCACACAAACGAATGATCACAGGTCATTCAGTGGAGTTCAGAGAGATTCAAGGTTCCCTGGGGAACATATGTGTGCAGGGTTTACATGGGTGACAACTGCTTTACACCAATCGTTTAGAGTTAATTTTACTTTTTTTTATTCAATTCAAAGCATAGTGACGCATTCTACCTTCCTAAAAAGAGCCGCTTTGCGAAAATTGATCCATTCTTGGTGGAAAGAGAGGTGTTTGAGAAAATACGAGGCCAGCGATATCCCAGTATTCGTTAAGAAGTTCACGAAAGTGTTCATTGTATATTTTTCTGCATTGCATTTGATCGCAAGTTTCCAGAAGCATTTCGCTCCGTAAATTTTGCCACGCTTTCCGCATTTTTAGATATTTCACTACGTAAAAATCCATGTCAACATCTATCTCGGATTGAGGTCTCATTCTCGTAAGCTTTCACACATGTGGGTATGGGATGTTTACTGGGGTCTGCGGGCATGATGAGCCAGTACAAATAATGTTTTCACTCAAATACTAGTGCGATATTGTGACGATCAGGGTGTAATTGACGATCCAAATGTAACTATGAATGTCAACAAACAGGACATCGAAACAGTGAAGTATAAAAGAAAAACTTCTGAGTGATCACAACTTTGCGTCACTGCACTATCTATCGATCACACGAGTGCAATCCAAACGATCAAAATAAGTTATGCAACGTATAAACTAGTGGACGATTTTCTCATCTGTCGTTAATTACACATTATCCGCTCTTTTACCGTGAGAAATCCCAGCTGATCTTCTCTCTTGCTACCCTGGACTATAGTCAGCATATTAACACGCGACCGCGGGACAGTAACTGGTTCGTGTGTGTGTGTGTGGCAAAATTGTACAGCTGCATGTTTGAGTAAGTGGGATCCCATAGATACGTGCATGTTTTTCATCCAGGGGACAAGAACACCACGCATATGGCCGCGCAGAAAGTGATCAACGTCAGACAAATCTGACCGATTTGAACTGAGCGGTAAATAGCAGATTGATTGAAAATGCGCACAACGCGTGGTTGCATCGGTGTGTGTGTGTATGTGCAATGGGGAGTGCGCGCGTACAGGAGGATTTCTTCTTAGTCCCTGCCAAGCACTGCGTTGCTGCACGATTGCACATTCGGCCAATGATAGTGATGATGATGATACGACCATGATTTCCAGCAGGCGAAAAATATGTTCCGATTTATTAATGAATCACGGAAGAATCCAGGCTAAATCCTGCTCTTGGGTTTCACAACCATGCATAATTCAATAGAAAAAAACTCGATGTATTGTCAGTGTAACTCGCGAATATTCGCTCATCCGGAAAAGTAGGATGAAAAATGTAAAATTTTCTAATACGTAGATCAATAAAATTGGAGTTGATTAAATCGAGCGTTACAATTGGTTAAAAGCATCGTTCAGAGAAGTCGACTATCGATGAGAGTAGAACTGACGACTTTGAAGTTGTAAAGCGGAAAGAGAGATCGAAATGTAAGAGCCAGATGGACAGAAAGACACCGGATTTCACACATTCTGATCCCCCTACTACAATCCTTCAAGTGAGCTTTTATTTTCAAAAGGAATTTTGCCTATTGATTACCTGTACTTGACTCTACTGGAAAGTCAAGAAAAGAGTTCATTATGATATGAAAAGCTACTTGGAGTTGGGGCATGAAGTACTTCTAGTTTGTCACTGAATACTGTCGGGCGAATACATTCCCACATTAAGTCGTTCACAAAACCGGATGACCGTTATCAGTGTAGTGTATCAATCAGGCAGAACGGTGAATTTAAGATCTCTTAGCATGAAACAGCCACAACTGGTCTGAATGAAGGGGCTGATAGTGTTGTCCTCATCAGGAACACTATTTGTCCTGGAGCACAACACCTTCGCTAGCCAGCAACCTTTTGTTTACAACGAAAACTTTTATTATTCCACCTACTTGAAAATAATAGTACTTCAAAAGGTCGTAAAACCCAGGGGCAACTTATGGGAAGACTAAATCAATAGTCCTATGTTGGTTGGTGATATACGTTTGTTCAGGTGATGATCTGAGGGAAGTAAAAATAACAATTCTCGGGTTTGTTCAAGAGTCTCACGTCAGAAAGTCATTTGGGAATAAAATACCCCTAACGTGGTTCGATGCCATCTTAAAACCGATACTGCTTCCGGATGAAAGAATGGAGAACTGGACAGAGAAATTAAATTTTAGTAAGTTATCTCTACTTTTACGACAGTTGTCTCATTACTATTCCCAGTGGCAATGTTCATTTAGCTCTGGTCCACCATCGACCTATGTGGCGAC